GCACATCACCAAGATTGTGGGCCCTTTTATGCCAAAACATTGCAATCTCCAATAAATGTACTCACAATTGCATCGTGCCATGTGCAGCCCATTCATTCCTTTCTTTTCTTTTCTTTTCGTGCATGGAGCTCTGAAGTGCTGAATGGGTGGTTATTGACAAGGGAACCATGTTGTATTTGGGTATTTTTTTCATGTCTACTACACGTACCTGTACAGCTAACTTGCACTTTCAGGACTTCTTACAAAGGGCTCCATTATTATGGAGTAGGCTGCTTCTCCAAAGCAGACTCTCCCCTACACTTTAATCTTTTAAGAAGTTGCTAAAAACCTGACTCTTCAGAATAGCCTATGGACTTCAAGGGTAACTGCCACTCCTCTCTCTCTTAATTAGTGGGTCCATTCTACACTTCACTCTGATCTTCTGCTACTTTTTCACACTGTTACATGATTCCATTCACTCACCTCAACCTGCCTTTCCTATTGTATGTGTGTTAGTGTACATGTTTTTTTAATACATACATACCTGTATATATTTTTTTGTTTTCTATCCCTGCATGCTAAAGCTAGTTGTTTCCTTCCCTACTCATCATTGTTGGTTTGTTAAATGTTATTTACCTATTTGCTTATCTCTAAAGACTTTCTCTGTTATCCTCCACCCATTTTATTGATACCCACCCGAATGTCTTGCTTGACCAATCCGCACCTCCTCTGTGCATCTCCATTCCACAGCTTTTATTGCAGGCCTTTTTGACCCAATAATTTCTGTCTTCCACAGTTTGAGTTAAAAAGATGCCTGCTGCAAAACACAGCATTTCTCAGTTGCTTGCCCTCCCCTCCCCTCACCACCCCACCACAAGCTCCTTATTTCATTTATATATAGAATCTCACACACTATTTTAGATAATTAGAAATGACAGCTGCAAACATTACCAGTAATCAGCACACTCCACCTTCTTAACCCCTAACACTCAGTCCTCATTCTCCTTACTTTTGCGCATTCTGCTTTTCTCAAAGTACCTACTCATCTGAGCAATGCTCTGTCTTTTCCTTTTCTCATTTTCTCTCCTCTCCCTCAGCATCAAAATATCTCCTTACATGCACTTCCCTCCACAACACAATCACATCTACATTAATCTCTCTGCTACACTCCCCCCTTCTCTCATCTCAAGCCCTGCACTCATTTCGCTATTCTCTCTCTTGCTCTAACCCAATCTCATCCCAGACCCCGCCCATATAAAACGCATTCAAACCTCCTGTCTCTAGCTCTCCTCCTACTTCTAGCAGCTGGTGATGTTTCACCAAACCCAGGGCCCATCACCTCATCTACTCACACTAAGGCAACCAGAAACCACTCAAACCTCATCCAAATACCCTGCAGTTTACCCTCCTCTACCAACATTCAGTGTGCACTCTGGAACGCCCGCTTCATCTGTAGCAATATTAAACCAACAGTCATGCATGACCTCGTCATCTGTAATTCACTCACGGTACTGGCGCTGAGACCTGTCTGTCCCCCTCTGACACCACTACTCCTGCTTCTTTATGTTTCTGTGGACTACAATTCTCCCACGCTCCCAGACTCAACTGTAAAGGAGGCGGTGTAGGCATCCTTCTCTCCCCTCAATGTACCTTTCAACCTATCCCCCCTGCCCCTGCCCTTTCCGTTAAAGTTCACACTGTCCACCTATTTAAGCCCACTCCTCCTTGATGTATGAATTGCCATTATCTATCGCCCTCCCGGTCATCCTAGACTATTCATTGAACACTTATCTTCCTGGGTGCTCCACCTTTTCTCCTCTAGCACTCCTTCCATCATACTTGTGGACTTTAACATCCCAATCAACAACTTCAGCTGCCCTGATGCCTCCCGTATGCTCTCTTTAACCTCCTCCTTTGGGCTCACACAGTCAGGGCCGGACTGGGAACTGGGAACAGCCCTGGAAAAAAATTCTATACCAGCCCAATAATGTGTCGAGCCAGCATAGTGTGCTGATATAGAGGGTGAAAAAATAACTTGAAATTGAAAACTCTTACTCCAACGAAAGAACGCATATAGGGCTTCAAAATAAACAAAAGAGCGCCTTTATTTTAAGTAGACGTACATTTGCATGTAATTAATGTTTTAGTACAACTACTTTGGCCTATTAACGACATTTTAGTAATTGTACTGAAATGCTGAATGTCTGCAGTTGCACAAGTAAAAAAAAAATTAAGTGATATTGTTTATTTTGAAGTTCTATGGGTGCGCTCTTCACTTTGAATATGTTATTGTGCATGAGTATGCAACTAGCAACAAGACTGGGCCAATACGTGATCATTACACTCTGTCTCTTTGTCCCCCCTTCCCTTGTGTCTCTCTATTACCCCTCTCTTTGTCCCCCCATTCCTGTCTCTCTATTACCTCTCTGTCTCTTTGTCCCCCCTTCTCTGGTGTCTCTCTATTACCCCATTTGTCTCTGTGTCCCCCCTTCTCATGTGTCTCTCTATTACCCATCTCTTTGTCCCCCCAACCTCTTTGTCTCTCTATCACTCCTCTGTCTCTTTGTCCCCCCTTCCCTTGTGTCTCTCTATTACCCCTCTCTTTGTCCCCCATCCCTGTCTCTCTATTACCTCTCTGTCTCTTTGTCCCCCCTTCCCTGGTGTCTCTCTATTACCCCTCTGTCTCTTTGTCCCCCCCTTCCCTGGTATCTCTCCATTACTCTTTGTCCCTCATCCCCTGTCTCTCTATTACCCCATCTGTCTATGTGTCCCCCCCTTGCCCTATGTCTCTCTATTACCCCTCAGTCTCTGATACTGACAGCAGTACAGCACAGGAGATGGGGCCGCTGGCCGCAAGGTGAGTACCACCTCAGAGTGTGCCGCCGGACCGGCCACCCGGCGGCACCGACATGCGGCCGGCGGCAGCGATATTATTAAAATATAGGGAGCAGGGCTCCCTCTCTCTCTCCAGCCCCCCAGGTGCCGCGGCCCACTGGGAAATTTCCCGTTATCCCGGTGGGCTAGTCCGGCCCTGCACACAGTTGTCTTCTTCAGTAACTCATACAGCAGGAAACACTCTTGACCTCATCTTCACCAATCTCTGTAGCATTGGATGCATATCAATATCTAAAGTAATATTTTATGGCATTCATCTGAATTCCCTAAGGGTAAAGTACACAATTAATAAACCAATATCACATGCCATATATGTTGGGGATAAAATCAGCTATACACGAAGACTTGATGAATACTGGCTGAGCCCCTCCCTCTTAGGAAACAGGATCCTGGAAATCATTTAAGAAGACAGAGACGTGTTCAGTAACCAATTCAAATTTTATTCATACGTCAGTTATATTTATACCCCGTTTTCATAGCAGGATGGGAGGGGGAAAAATGAGCATATGGGCGTGACAATGATGACAATGACATAGATTGTTTTTCACAAGTTACAAGCAGCTGTTTCTTGTTATATCACACATATATTTTATAAAAAGCAGATATTTCCAAATACCAAAATCTTGGACAATTAATAAGAACATTTCGAAATCAGTACTTTTCCCGTAACTAGGAGTTTAGATAAATTTATTTCCAAGAATTGGAGATACAATTCCACATTTATTCCAAATTTATTCTTGGTTCAAATTAACCCTTATATAAACAGCTAGGATAGATAGTGAAATGGATATTCGTATCTACAATTCCCCTCTTTAGATCATGTCATGATCTACCTTACGGAAAATATCCATGGGAGGCCTGCAGCAGAGAAACGAAAGGAGGTATATTCAGACGTGCTACTCATGTCTGCTGGACTTTTGTTATTTCTTCACCTCGATTTCCCCCATTTGCTCTGTGCCGTAGGTTTTCCCTTTAAGAGGAGTTCGAGCTGTCAATTTTCAGCTTTTTCAATTAACTGTTGAATACATCTTTTAAGTGTACAAGTTAAATTTTTCAAACAGCTGACATGTTAACAATTTTTAAACAGACTGCACATCATGTTATCTGTAACTTGAGCCTTGGGTCAATACAGGCAAAGTGTATTATTCCCAACAACGGGAATATTATTATTATAATTCACAACGTAAACACATATAGTCAAAATGGGAATAATATCTATCCCCCCTCTTTGGACCAGGGTCTTGGATTACCAGTCCACCCAGTGAACTCGGGCCAGGTCAAAAAAAACAGTGGCAAAAACTCATATTTGAGGAAAAAAAGCACATCTGGGGAAACTCTGAGTGAGGGCCATGACTGTGTAGACATGTCATCCCCTCACGTTGACAGCATTAGTGACTTATAAAACCCGCACTTGTAAGTAAATAGCTCGGGTATCAGGATTGGGAAACACTTCTTGATTAGTTTGAAAAGGCCCACTTACATATTAAATCATGAGATAATTTTTAATCAGTTTGCAATTCTAACAATAGTCCCAATCATGACCTTGCGTCCTATGCCTCCTAATCACATCCCTATTTTGATGGTCCAGTCATATCCACACTTAATACATGGAAATCCATCCTGGTACACTCAACATACATCAATGACACACATAATACATCCATGCCTGAGTAAGCTAACACTTCCTCTCTCTCTCTGGCTAACTCTACAAAAATAAAAGTAAAAAAAATAGTTCAATAGCCCAGCATAGTCCATAAAATAGAATAAGTCTTTCAAGGGGAATAAAGAGTCTTAGACACCATAAACTCTGTTCCATAATCTTAGACACCATAACATAGCTAAGGGAAGCAATATGGCTGACAACAAGACAATGTCAGCTTCCACATAGTTCTTAATTCTTCTGTTTGCTGGATGTTTACCACAATGCTCTGTGCAACACCCCAATTGTTGAAAGGGTTAATATAGAAATAGCGGCATCTGCACCTTCTGGGCTTTCCAAGTTAGTTTATGCCCTCATTAGTAAGCATCTCAGTTTCTTCGGCAAGCATGGATTTTGATCAAACAGATTTAATTGCAAAAAAGGTAGGTAGGCAGGTAGGTCTGCCAGAGAAATTGGTGTGTAGTCCCAAGTATCAGGCGGCACAAATACTCCAGTATGGTCTCTATAATCATACAAACACAAGGATCAGTACGACATCAATAAATGAATTATCTAGGATAAACTCAAATTAGAGACTAAAGTTAAACCCTTAACTTGTGTAACATGTACTTCTCTTAGCTTTGCTTATAATTCATGAAATTTGTCCTGTATGAATGTGTACACAATTTCCCTTTCAATGCCTTTGTATGGATGAGAGAAGTACTTACACTATATAAATGCTTGTTGGACAGGTGAGTGAACCCCTGCTATCCACAATTAAAACAGTGCTGAAGTTGCCACCTCTACAAAAGTTAGACCCTTTGATCAAATCCTCTACCTCTGCCTCTAAAACTTTTCTGATTCAATCTCCTATCACCTCCCACATTTCTTTGTCTTGCCTGCTTAAGGTCACAATACTGTAAACCCTGTGATTGAAACAACATACTCGTTTCCTTCTTTCTTTATATCAAAACAACTTGCTGAACCTTTCTCATGAATCTTCCAAAGAAATTTAGTTGGGGTCAAAGAGGGCCAGTCACTGACCAACAGTTTGACCAAAAGTGAACAAGGAGGAAGCATATTCCATATGCAGGTCTGTATTGGTTATGGGCAACGATAAATGTTTTATTATTGTGTTCCCATTCATGTGCAATAACTTATGATACCTATAGGGGGTGTAGTGAGCTATGTGACATTAAGAGCAAGAAGATGGCTGCTGCATATTTAATGAGACATGTGCTTTAGGGAGGAAGGTACCTATAGGTGGCCTAGTGAGCACTGTGACGTCAAGTGAATAAAGATGGCTGCCGCATAGTCAATGAGACATGTGCTTTAGGAAGGTATTGAGAATTCTTAAGTCACTTCCTTTCACAAATGACCACATGTAGTATCCGCCTCCTAGAGATGATCATTGGGTATTGGTTATGTTACCTTTGTGGGTGGATACTAGATGGGAGGTTATTTAAGGGGTTACCAGAAACTAGAGAGCAGTTTCATGACTGGGTCGGAAGAAGCCAGGTGTCTTTAGAGGTGCCCATGTAAATCCATTTAACATGTGGCAAGGAACTCACATCATTGTTCTCTGTGTTATGCTGATTGAATTATCATGTGTAAGCTGCTGAATCTCCATGAATAGAGCTAAGTGGATTTCTTACCTGAATGTATTGTTTATAGCAGTGTGTGTTTTTAAAATATTTGTTTTTTGTGTGCTTGATAATTGTATTCCCAGTAAAGTTTTGTTTATACTTTCATCAAAACTTTGCCTCTTGTCTGTTAATTCAAGATATTCATTAATATTTATGTGATTGACCAGTATACCTTTTATTCTTTTATTTGTGGTATTATTTCATTTTTATGAAATTCAGAACTTCATAAATATAAAGAAATTACTTAATTTACCATTACAAGGTCGAGATTACCTAACTCACACCCCCCTCATTGTGTACCCCTCTTTGTGTACCACACAGATATAATATTAATAAGCTTTTGAATATTTATTGTGTATGTATAGCACGGTTGTCTAGGGGTTTATACATAAACAGTGAAAGCAGAGTCTTCATATAGGGTTTGCAATCGGACAGTCTGGGTCATAGGTGTAATGCAGACATGCGGTTAGCTACTTTTCCATTATCCGATTACAATGAAAACACTAATATATTGTAAATATTAAAATCAAATTGCAGCTGTTTCCTATACCTGCACGGATATGGCTGTAGTGCCTCAATTGAGTTCAAATTGAGTATCAAAAGTCTAACCACAAAAACTAAATTTTATATGCTTATCAAAAATTAGTTTAACCCCTTAGCAAGTTAATTGGGTGACCTCTTCCCATAATATGGTTCCTTTTATAATTATTATATTATTTATTCTCTTCTGGGTCTGAAAAATGCTTTCAATTTACCAATACAAATATAATACAGTAGTTTAGAATTGTCTCATTTATCATCAAAAATTGTCTGATCTCTATTAAAAATACCATTTCATCATTTTGCTATAATCAATGAGGCATACTAGATGAATCTTAATCTTGGAAAAAACCTATCCTATACATCCATTCATTTTTTCTTTCTCTTTTTATATAACCATATAATTTTGACATAAGTAATGTAATGCACTATAAAAGTAGAGTTAACTCTAAATACTCCCCTAATAATACAGAGAGAGAGAGAGAGAGAGAGAGAGAGAGACATTTAAAATTGGAAACGTGGATCCACGAGTTTGAAAAGCAGATGATTTTTTTTTTCTTTCCCAGGGGCCCCTTTCTTGTCGGCTGATCAGTGTTTTAATCTGTTGTAAAAAGACACTAAAGGCTTGCATTAATGACATGCAAATATTCTTTAAATATTCTTCATACTCATTGTAATATCACACACGTCATCTTATAACACAGAACACAACGAATGTAGCAGATATCCAGCAGACATGCCAATACAAAAAACGTATTAATGGACAGGCAATTAACGCAATCCAAAATAAATTAATAAATGTCACAGTCGGTGAACCTCAAAAGAAACACAGACATAATGTAGGTTCCCATGTTTGTGCATTATGCATTTCTGCAAACTATGCAAGCAGTACTGCTTTAAGGATAGACCAGAGAACCTGGCAACTGGACAGGAAAGTCGAATTGTGGCAAAAAAAACATTATTGCAACAAAATTTTGGAAATCAGCTAAAACTTACAAAAACAGCCTCCCCCTTTTTTTTGTTTTTTTGTTTTGTTTTGTTTTTTAAGATTACAACTCATGTTGCTCTTGGACTAGTATTCAATAATAAATGAGTTATATAATAGATTATTACACTGCCATTTCCATCTGTAAGAATACTGAGACAAACTTATTCAAATATAATTTAAAATAACACAGCAAAATACCCACTAACATACATGACAATTAAACTGCATGCTTCAAAATGAGTAACCCAAAACACACATTTATCACAATCACCATTTACATAGAATAAACTTTTAACAGCTATATTCAGAACATATTATTGTAAGGTACACCAGTTTTAGTTTGTGTCAAATTTATTTTAAGAGTGTCTTTTTAACCCCTTAAGGACCAAACGTCTGGAATAAAATGGAATCGTGACATGTCACACATGTCATGTGTCCTTAAGGGGTTAAAGAAGGGATCCCATACGGCCATATAACGCGTTTGACTTAAACATTTTTTTAAACTTGCATTGACCAGTTACAACATATGTACCCTGTCAATAGAATTTCTCTCTTATACGTTTATAAAACATTTGGACCATATTACACAGACATGGTATCACCTGCATTTGTCAGAATTCTCAAAGACTCAAAATATTTATACTACTCCATGTTAAAGGCATGGCAAAATTTTGACCGGTCAATTTGAGTTCCCAAAAGTCATAACAACACAGGTAAAAACCTTTGTCCATGGTTTTCCGATCCTACATTCCATGACCAAAAATTCAAACCCACTTCTGCACATGGGATCTAGAGTTTTGGGTCGCAATCAATAAAATCTCAGCATCCCCATACAACAATTTACATATTTTCACAATGCTACAGAATACATACAATTTAAAGCATATACAACATGTCAAGTACCTGTAGCAAGCAAGTAGCAAGCACAAGTTAGCTTACAGCACGATATGAAGCATGTGTTGGACCGCTGAAAATATAAATTTTGCTCTCTAATTTATAATCATCTAAATTTACAACATAAATTCTCTGCAACAAACACTCAGGGCAGAAAGCATGTGGTGTTTGATGTTTTGAATGAAGTGACCTTTTTGTCCCAATATGAAAATAAAGGGCTCATCATATAAACAATCATACATCCCACTCTCATGAAAAAGTGTAGTGGGCTTATAGTACTTTTGTCCAAGTATAAAAACAAAAAGGGCTCATTATGCAAACAAACATATATGCAGAGAAATCATGTTACTTCTAGAATTTGTAGCCCCCCTTAAACCCTTAAGGACCAAACTTCTGGAATAAAAGGGAATCATGACATGTCACACATGTCATGTGTCCTTAAGGGGTTAAATAACCTCTATTTCTATCTCTTCTTCCTCTTTATCATCATCACCTTCACATATACATTTGACATTCCCTTAATCATTTTATTCCTTTAATTCTTATCCCCTCTTGTTAAACAGGGTACAAGTGAGGGGCTATATTCAAGCAACATACTGTTTGAAATTTTCCCCGGGATTAGGGAACGGATATTTTTTAGATTGGGAAATCCGTTTTTATTCCATTTAAAAACATGGTAGCCAAATTCTGTACATTTTTTTTCTTTAAATATAACTACCACTGCAGAGTAGTTAAAACGGATTTCATCTTTTCTGTCTGTGTCTGTAATTCCAATCCCTTGCAAAGTTATATATATATTATTTAAAACAACACAAAAGCCAAAAAGCAGAGATATATAAAAATTAAGCAAAAACAGAGGTTGGGGTGCAGCCAAGACGCCCATCAAGTAAGTTACTAACTCTCTCTTTTTTTTTCTTATTCTTTAAACCATTTTAGTCTGCAAAACCCACATTTACATGTACATTACATGACATGACAGCCCGCTAAAGGCTTGAAAATCTTTTTACCACCTGCCACAAGTGAACTTCTACCAAAGAGGAATTGTCTACCAAAGACAATTTTGCACAATATTGCCTGCCAAAGGCTTTCCTCCAACCCAAGGAGTCATAAAAGTCTACTTTAGACTTAAAAAATATCATGTCTACCAAATACATTATGCAGTGAAAATCCCCCTTAAAAAAATTAAATAGTGAAAAACACCATTTAAATAACAAATACAATGTGTGGGGGATGGGAGAAGCAGGTAAAGAAGGTCTTTAAATATCCTCTTACCTGTAATTTCCGTTCCATCCAATTGCAACCATTTCTGACACCAATTTGTTGGGGATAAAATCAGCCTGGCCCCTTTGTGGATGATGGATATTTGCCAACTCATTCAGAGCTCTGGAAATTGGAAATGAATAGCAGAGACGTGTTCCACTTCTGACACCAATTTGTTGGGGATAAAGTCAGCAATACACGAAGACTTGCTGAATACTGTCTGAGCCCCTCCCTCTTAGGAAACAGGATCCTGGAAATCAGTTAAGAAGACAGAGACGTGTTCAATAACCAATTCAAATTTTATTCATACGTCAGTTATATTTATACCCTGTTTTCATAGCAGAATGGGGGGGGGGAAATGAGCATATGGGCGTGACAATGATGACAATGACATAGATTGTTTTTCACAAGTTACAAGCAGCTATTTCTTGTTATATCACACATATATTTGATAAAAAAAACAGATATTTAGAAATACCAAAATCTTGGACAATTAATAAGAACATTTCAAAATCAGTACTTTTCCCGTAACTAGGATTTTAGATAAATTTATTTCCAAGAATCGGAGATACAATTCCAAATTTATTTTTGGTTCAAATTAACCCTTATATGAACAGCTAGGATAGATAGTGAAATGGATATTCGTATCTACAATATACATATTAAATAAATCTAAAAAAAGGAGCACTATAAGTAAACATGTTAGAAAAATGTGGAAAAACTTTTCATCTAGATACTGTTAGACAATAATATGTGAACTGTATAATTAAAATTGACATCAATGTGTAAAAACATCCATATATTCATAACGTGATCTTGTGTCAAGCCTACTGAACCATCTAAAAATAAATCAATAAAAAAATGTAAATGTTAGTATTAATACTGATTCTCTATTTTCATTTCCCATGCTTGGAGTATTTTATTTATGAATCCTATATTTTTATTTTGCACGATTGGGATATATTATTTATTAATCAGCATTTTATTTTTATATTTGCATGTATGTTCTTTTTTATTTGTCTCTACTTAAAATAAAAGTATTTACTACACCTTTGGTGGAAGACCCTTGACTATTTCTACGATTCTGAGATGGCCATAATTCTAAAATGGATCATGAGAGTGCATTCATGAATATTCATATTTGACCTATACCATACATTGCTATGCTATGCTGGCTTTTTTCTATTTGTACAGCTGCACTACAACGCACAGAAGAGGGACTAGGATTTCCCATGACTATCCTACTGTGCTTGAAACTTGAGCCAAGTGATCACACTGGCTCCAGGTTTGACACTGATGCTTTCTATAAGAAAGTAACAACTCTGTATATTGCTCCACCAACTATATGTATTTTTGTATTATTTGAAGTGTGGATTAGGGCATCTCACACAGATGTTCAAAGCACAGAAGTATTGTGTACACCTCATCACTGTGTTTTTTGACTTGTTTGAACTGGGTTCTCATCAGCCTATTGTTCCTGTCAAATACTGTAATAGTTTGTCTCATGTGTTGTTAAAGTCACCTTAAAGGGACACTATAGTCATCAAAACAACCTTAGCTCAATGAAACAGTTTTGGTGTATAGATCATGCCCCAGGCATTCTCACTGCTCAATTGTCTGCCATTTAGGCAATTAATCATTCTGTTTCTGTAGCCATAGGAGCACCTGCATGTGAATTGCACTGCCTTCCTAAACACTTCCTGTAAAAAGTTATCTAATGTTTACACTACCGTTATTGTAAATTCTGTTTAATTTGGAATTTCTTATCTCCTGCTCTGTTAATAGCTTGCTAGACCCTGCAAGAGCCTCCTAAATGTAATTAAGGTGCAATTTACAGAGCATGAGATAAAAAAAAAGTTATTGAATATACACAAAAATGTGGAATAAATGGCGCTCTGTGTAATAAATAGAAAGAAATCTGGTACAGCTGCTGTATACACTCTGTGGGTACTCCTAATTACCCACCACACATAAACAATCACCAAAACACAAAGAAACTTTTTGATTTGGGTGATGTTACCACCATCCAAATCTAAAGTCCTTAAAGTGAGTGCAGCGCTATATAAGTGCTTAGGTAAGTATGTTCACTATATTTTGGAACTCTTACCCTTTTCGTTTATCTTGATGCAGTATGGTACATAAAAAAGAAGCAAAAAAGAACATATACAGATAATAGTGTAATATGTCTTTAAATGGAGCGATTGATGAAATAGGTGAATATATACACTCACATTTATTAGAGCCTTTTCTAGTGTTAGGCTCTAAACTTCTGCACGTCTGTGTCTTTTCGGGTAGACCACACGACCCCTCTCTCACAAGGAAGATATGTTCTCCACCGAATATATAAAAGACACAGATATTTCATACTAAGTGTAGCATCTCAGGAAAGAAAATGATGTCCATATAAGAAAAAATGGAAATGCTCACCTTATTTAGAGCCCTTGGTAACCGGCTCTAAGTATATTTGCCCAGTGTCAAATTTTGGGGTGACACTGCCCCTCCCTTTGAATCAGTTATACAGGATACAATGGATATATTGAAGAAATGGGAACAAATTTATTTATAGATAAAATTATAAAATTACACTGTAAATAACTAGAAAATAAAAAACAGTAAAATAACAATACAATTAAATATGTGACCTAAAAAAGTATATATGGGTTCACTTTAAAAGCTAAAACGCGTTTCGCCGATCAAAACGGCTTCCTCAGTCAGCTACAAGCAATCTCTGTTTGTCCAACTTAAAAAGATATCAAATTTCCCGCCAATTTTTGCTTCATCCAATCAATAAGTGTTTGTAGTGCATCCGGAGTTCCGTCGCGTCACTTCCGGTTCTTTTCAACTACCAAGTCCATGATGCTTTGCCATAATGCAGGATTCCGTTGCCTCATTTCCGGTAGTTGTGAACTACCAAGTCCACAATGCTCCGCGAGTGGTCCTTAACTTCCGGTTTCGCCACCCCAAAGTTCAATCTGACGCGGCCGCAAATGCCGTCGCGTCATTTCCGGTTTTCGTAAATGATAATAGAGTCCATAGTCCACCTCCTGAAAGCATAATTCTCCAACACATCTTATATTAGTATTCTCCTTATGTATATTTCAACATATAAATAGATACATTCAGAAGGAATATGTGCAAATGTGCAAGTGTGTTCATTTGAATCAGTGCAGATCAATTAATGGATTTTCAATCTAATTTAATAATAATTAATATTTTATGAATCAAATAAAATGATGTTCTTCAATGCAGAAAAAAGATGGAAGAATCCCAAAACATTTATTAAAAAAAAAAAAAATAAATGCAAATGTGTAATTATATTAAATTGAAATTGTGCAGACTTTGTGTTTTCTTAAATGTTTCTAATAGTTAAACTAATATATAATATTCTATAGTGAAAAAATTTATAGTATACCAACACATTGTTTTTCACCATATACTTATTTGTGCATGCCAATAGATGCAAATGTGTGATTGTATTGGATAGAAATTGTGTAAATATTGTGTTTTCTTTAATGTTTCTAATAGTTGAACTAATGTGCAATTGTTTTATAGTGAAAAAAAAAAAAAAAAAATATATATATATATCGAACTATAAAAAATGACACAATTCAAAATCCGCATTCAATCCAAACGGAGCCAAAGTGTTTAGATTGAAAATCCACTTGGTCTCAATTCTCCCCAATTTTCTTATTTCATCCTCCCCTCGCCAATTTAGCATGACCCTTTGAATCGCCATAAATTCTAAGTGTTGAGGGTCTCTATTGTGTGCTAAATTAAAATGTTCCGAAACACTATGTTTATCAAAACCTTTTTTTATGTTTCGAATATGTTCATTTATCCTTGTCTGTAGAGGGCGTTTTGTCCTACCTACATAAAAAAGATTACATGGACATTTCAACAAATAAATGACTCTTTTCGAAAAACATGTGATCATTTGTTGTATTTTATACTTAGTTACCCCTTTTGGGTCATAAAATTCAGTTATATGTCTTTTAACACTTTTTGTATTCCTACAAGCCAAACACTGTCCGCATCCAAAAAAACCTTCTTTTTGAAAGAAAGGAGTGGATACATTATTCTTTATATGGTTGTGGACTAATTTTTGTTTTAAATTAGGAGCTCCCCTATATACAAGTTTAGGTTTCTCCGGTAGTATGGAGTATAACATGGGGTCATTGCGTAATATAGGCCAGTGTTTATTTATTATTCCTTTAATTCTGTTACTTTCTTGATTATAATTACAAATAAAAGGCAAAGTATTATCATCCCTTTTATTTCTACATTTATATTTTAATAGAGATGATCTATCCATGGTTTCTACCTGTTTAATAGTATTAATAAGGGAGGTTTCCTCATAACCCCTTTCCATAAAATCTTTTTTAATTCTAATGGCTTGGGTCTCAAAGGTATGCTTATCTGTGCAATTCCTACGTATTCTCATCAGTTGGGCTTTCGGGACATTCTTTAACCATGGAGAGAAGTGGCAGCTATTAAGGTAAATATAATTGTTCACGTCAACTGGTTTAAAAAAAGTTTTAGTTTTTATACGGTTGTCCTCTATAAAAATAGTTAAATCCAAAAAATTAACGCTATCTGTGCTGTATTCAGTCGTTAATACAATTCCCCATTCATTTGTGTTTAAAAATGTTAAAAATAATTTGAGATGCTCCTCTGACCCTTTCCAAATAAAAAATATATCATCTATATATCTTTTATAGGAGACCAGGTTCGCTCCCCAGTTAATATTGTTGTCTATATGTTTATTCTCCCAATGTGCCATAAATAAATTGGCATAACTTGGAGCGAACCTGGTCCCCATGGCATTGCCAACTTTCTGTAAAAAGAAATCATTTTCAAACCAAAAATAATTATTTTGGAGGATGAGTTCTATTCCTTCCAAAATAAAGGTAATTTGTTCTTCCGGATAAATGTTGTCTTTCCTAATAAAAAATTCCACTGCCTCTAACCCTTTTGTGTGTGAAATAATAGTATAGAGGGAGCTGACATCTGCTGTCACTAGTATGTAATTGGATTCCCATTCTATATTTTGTAATATCTGTATCACATTCAATGTGTCTCTAAGGTAATTCTGAGTTTTCTGAACTATTGGTTGTAGACATTTATCTAAATATTCCGATAGTCTACTTGATATAGAGTTTATTCCTGAGACTATCGGTCTCCCTGGGGGGTTCATTAGATCTTTATGAATTTTAGG